GTTTGCTAACATTCGATGTTATTTATACATTACAATTTAATGACATAGAGCATGAACCGGAAATATTCGCTCGAACGCAACTGTTAAGACGTTGTGAAGCCAAACCTAATGTGTTACCTCTCCTCTTTCTGCGTTTTGGCGTTCAATTTCAGGAGCGTACGGGAACATCGCTGATTCTCTACGTATATGCTGTAGCGAACATTTCAAGTTTTGAAGCAACGTCTCGTTCATTCATTCATTCATTTGAATACACATTCCAAACTCCATGAATGAGTACGTTTCATAAAGTTAACCCTTTACCTCCTATCATACATCTGAACAATGACAGAAGATTACAAAAGGATTCATTTATAATCTAAAAACTTGTTGGCGTGTCACTAGTGAGAGCAGTGAAACACATGTATAATAGAACGTTTACGATACTAACCGAATGCAATCGTTAAATAGCTTGCATAGTTTCAAATGCGTTATTGCGGAATGCTGTGGTTAAATAGTTTTAAGAGTGTTAAGAGGCGCTCCTCTGGAATGCAATTGTATGACTGTAATACCTTGAATAGTTTAAACAGCTTGGAGGAGCACGCCTCTGGAATGCATATTGTATTGTTTTGCGGGCTTTAATGAGCACTCCTCTGGAATGCTATTGTATAACTGTAAATATCTTGAATAGTTTAAACAGCTTGGAGGAGCACGCCTCTGGAATGCATATTGTATTGTTTTGCGGGCTTTAATGAGCACTCCTCTGGAATGCTTTTGTATGACTGTAAATATCTTGAATAGTTTGAGGAGCTAATATCTTGAATAGTTGGAGGAGCGCATCTCTGGAATGCTATTGTATTCGTCAGGAATGCTTTTGTTCTCTTAGGAATGCTATTGTCTGTGCTATCTGGATTACTTACTATCTACTTACATACGCATATGTAAAGACATACGCATATGTACATTCAGACGCATGTGTACATACATACGCATATGCACACGCACACTTAGACACATACATACATACATACATACACCCATGGTATCTGATGCCATTTGCAGCCTTTTTATAGAAATATCATTGATTGCTTTTGTAATCTTGTATATCAGCACAACTGAACCTATCAATGTCATACGTTGACCACATGTACTGTACCTATAAACAAGTAAAAAAATGGTAAATAGAACAAAACAAAAAAACAACCATATAATAATTATATGGTCTCTGATTTGATATATTTTGTTAAAATTTCTTTAACTCTTACACACAATCCTATGTCTTCCTTATCACGTCATGTGTATGTGGCTTGGTTCATAACCTGTAGGATGGTTGTTTTAGACAAAACCTGTTTCGGGTCAAAATATAGGGCAGACTCGCGGTAATCAGTGATACTTTTGTGTCAGTGAGGGTTTCCTGTATAGTCGAAAGCATTCAGGACCAGCAAACACAATAATGAATATATCACATTTAAAATCTATAGTTTATAAACAGATGTCACAGCAGCTAGGGTATCATTTTCACTCCCACTCCCAGCTACCGCCTCCGCCTGAATGGGGAAGAACATGTTTATTCTAATGAATCACATGTTGTCACATATAGAACACCCAGATTCAAATAGTTTTACATGTTCATGCTAGTTTTAGACTCCATCTGTGATACTTTAGTTATTTTACTGTCCTTCGTTGACAGGGTTTTATATATTATATGTATGTATTATAAATTATAAATTTAGAACTAGTTTTAGTCACGATATGGCTGAAATATTGCCGCTGTGACTTTAAATCTTAACTCACTCACTCACAATAGAACACCCAGATAATTAACAGCGGCCGCAACACCACTACAACAAGATGTCCATGAAAAATGTAAAAAGTAAAGTGTAAAAAATGGTGATATTTATATAGGGCTGCCGTGGATGGGCAGTGAGTGGATGCGTTGGAACAGTGTTGGACGCAGCGGCTGCAACACCACTACAACGTCGAATTAAGTCTCATTCTATTTTTTTCCGTATTCCTAAGATGTTCATCTACATTTATTGTGGAGACAATACCTTTCTATCTCGTGTCTAAGTCAGTTGGGCAGTGAGTGGTTGAATTAGTGTTGGTAACACTGTGTAACACCGTGTTCATGTAAAAATTACATTATTGTTCACTGTGTTGTATTAGAACAACAGAGTTAAACGTTTGGAAACACGGGACTTTTTCTTGTCACGGACTACTTAAAAGGTACATGAACTTGTGACCTCAACCTATTGGATATGTTTTTGCGACATGTATTTCTTTTCTGTAATGTACAGTTGCTATAGTCATTTGTTAATCGTGGAGCCAAAGGTTCGATTTTGTTTAACGCATAGTGTGAATATGTATTTTCAATTTGAACCGAAAAGTACAGACTAAAAACTTTAAAATAGTTAACGGGTACTTTTATTTGGTAGGCGCCCAGGAAACATTTTACTACCGTTTGTGGTTATTGAGTGTACGCACTGATGAAACAATTACAAATTTATTCTATTAGGCAACTGGAAACACGAAGTAGGATATTCTAAGCATAAATACATTTATCTGGGTACCGCGCACGTGCATTTTGCGTCGCGCATAGAAAACAACAGTTACACGGAATAACACGCGCGATATGAGAAGGTGTACCACTCGATAAATATAGTCCGCCACTGCGGTCTCTGAACGAGACCCAGATAGCATTCCGACGTTGGCCCAACGTTGGCAATAGTTGGCAACGTCGCGGTCGGATTTCATACGTTGGCCCGACGTTGGCCCAACATCGGGGAAGCCTCGCGGATATTTTATTAAAGGGACGCTACTCCAAACTGTTAGCTTTTCCCAGAGGGCGCTCACATTCTTCGAGCAGACGACGCGACTAAGCTGGGCCCCGTCTCGCATATCGCAATATACGAGCCGGTACAGGCCAAAGAGACGATGGCTGAGAAGGCCTACGAAAAGCCAACATTGACAATGTTATGTCATTTTCCATTGGTTGCTATTTTTAGACGACCGCGCTGTCCTTCATCGGAAGACGTCCAAAACACATTTTGTATCGTTTTCAAAAATCGGTCATGCAGGCGCTTGAAAGACCTTTGAAAATCTAAATTGTTCATATTTTCTGGAAACTTCTTTTTCAAAATCTTACTTTCTGTTATTGTACATATTTGATATTAATATTCACGAAAAATAATAGTAAACGTAAATATTCGTTTTATTTGCGTGAAAGGACCGTCGCTTTTTAAATGCACACCCACATTTCCCCTATGCGACAAAGATTTTTATTATAAGCTTGTCAGAAAACTGTGAGCGAATAAAATCATCTCTGATGTATGAACGACACAAATATGCAGGTAATTTATACATGTGGACATCGGTCGAGGCACGCATACAAATTAAATCTCGTATTGCAAATATTCTAAACTTTCCTCGCGGATGACGTTAGAAAGGTATGTGTGTCTTAGAGTGGGTAGGTGTGCCAACACTGGCACAAAATCAGTAGTAAGGCGGAAAATGAATTTATAATATTTTGTGGCGATATATAAGTATTGAATTATTCACTTAGAAAATGCTGAATGTGTCCTGAAGACACTTTAGTACAGCAACAAGAAAACTTTTGAGGCGATGCATCTTTGTTCATCAATTTTCACCAAATATTATATCAACATGGGTAGGCTTTTTAAGCCAATATGGTCTTGTCATCAATACAAAGTGGTTATATGAAATTGAGCAATATAGATAAGGTGTGAAAACGAAGGCGCAGCAAACTCTACTTGTTTAATAATGTAAACAAATCATCACAATTCAGATCTTATACTGTGTACTTTATAGATTTATGAACGTTTGATAATTAGTTGGTTTGAACATGCTTTAATAGGAAATTGACAATGTTGGTGTTGTTTACAAAACCTCGTACCTTTAGACAAGTGTCAGGAGATCTAAATGTATTCTACATCTGAACATAATGTTATAGTCGGAGCACCGTAGATCCAATGCAACGTTCACATTTCAGATCCTATGAAACTGCGTCACAAAATACTTCCGAATCCAGAGGTACTATTTTCAGTAATTTCATTACATTTGAAGATATGGCTAGTACTCCATTAATAATGATGCAAAATTAGTCAAAATACATCTACAATAACAGGAGAATATGGGAATCTAAGAACTAAATTATGTATCAGATAGGGCCATCAAAATCGCTATTACGTGCTTTCTCATGTAGTACTTTGTCATCTTTTCTTATGAATTGTGCAACTATCAAAACATATCCGCTCACATTGTGGAATTTTGTATTAGTATAGTTTGGTTCATGGTGAACAAACCATAACGAAAATATAGCGTCCATATCCACAAAAAATTCTCTTCAAGTATTCAGAGTTACATTGACCTAGTGTTAAGCATGTGGGAGTTATGACCCCTTATCATTATACGTGTATGGCCTCTCTGTCGTCGTTTGACGTCATAGAACAAAATCCTTTTTCGACATTTATTGCGAGTCATGTTTAAGATTGAGCGTATACCGTCATGCATAAGCACACACACCCATTTCATATATACTTATGTCGTTCAGATATCAGGCTGTATTTTCTTCGCTCACACTTTCCGTAACGATGCCAAATTAAAAAAAATCGTAGCACAGTGCTTTCATCAATACACAATCAAAAGCGGAGATATTTACTGCTTTTTAACGCATAACAAAGATTTGGACAACATATAACAGTGTCTATTTTCTACCGCCGAGGTAGGTGCACTTATATTTAATACCAGCGGATAGGAAATTTAATATTTTACATTTCTATGTAATTTTATAGCCATACGCAGATCCTGGACCACGTATGCGCAATTCTCGCACTACGTTCATTTTTCAAGTGTTATGATTCCCAGATCTTTCTTTGCGACGGAATCCAGATTGATCAATCCGGATGTGACGTCAAATAAACGAGCAGAGCGTTTTAAATGGCAGCCTATACCGGCTCCTAGCTTTGTCGAACGTTAGCGCGCGCAAAGGGAGCCGGGAACCAGCTTAACGACGCGACATGATCACAAGCTTGGCCATCGGAGTACAGGTTTCCTCGAATATATAGCGGTAAGTGTTTCATTTGGTGTTTTTATTATGTTCAATTCTATTTCCGAACTGTGCCCACCGAAAAACAGTCATGGTTCATTCAGAAATACCAACGTGAATGATTATTTACTTGAAATTGAAAACATGTCATGACTGTTAAATGACCACATCGCGGTTCTCGGCTAAGGAAATTCATGACTGAAACCCAATAAGTACATGTATGCGATCACACTGGTGGCTTTGAAAATGCAGCATTCCAGCATCAAAAGAAAATCGAGCTTGTCAGTATCAATTAGTTCGTTGTGATCGAGAGTGCATATAAGTTTAAAGGTCACATGCAACCAAAAAATCAAACATAATTAAAACACAATTATCACTTCTTCATGACATATAATATGCATTGCTGATTATGAAAAAACAAATAAACAAAATTATAAGCGTATAATCGCAAATCAAAAGTGCAATATTTTGTACTTGGGTTTACCTCCCTCGAAACGAAGCAGCCGGGATACCGAACCCAGTCAGAGCGGGTGGGTGTGCACTCAAGTGTAACGGCTGGTTCATTAGCAGATGCCGCCTTCACGGGTCAATGTGTGTGTATATATAGAAAGTGTGGTTTTGTAAATACATGCTCATTTTTTTGTGTATAACATTTTGCAATCAACAGACATCATAACATGTCATGTGTTCAAGTATCACACCTGCCTTTCTGTGTAATTACATAATGTGACAGAGACCGAACTCGGGCCATAAATCAATGCGTTTTGTTTATGGTGTATAGCCTGATTGGTGTTAAGTTCAAATTGCATGTGGTCAGTGATGGCAGTTGTGTATTGAATATTGTCATTAGCAGACAGGCAGGCAGACACACTGGTGTCAATAAAACAAGACATTGAGTTTTGTCTGTGACAGCGACATATCTATATCACAGTTAGAAATTGTGTCAACGCTAAATAATGACATTGCTTTTAAGTATCGAACTGAGAAAGTGACTCGGTAAGAAGAATGTGTGGTGAAATAGACAAATGAAATTATATAAACAGTTTATTTACTGTCATAACATACAAAAAGCTCGCGCCTGTGAGATATCAACAAAACATTATGAAACTAGCTCACACCAAAGCCTTCACCGAGTATTCACCAGACAGCCCGCTTCCAAGTTGCGCGAACCTATTTCACTGCGCACGTGCTATGAGCGCAGCCAGCTGTTGAAACCCGTATTCCCCAGAAAAGTCTGGGGAAAATTAGTGAAACGTTTGAACTCCGATTTCGCGCGTTTTTTTTTCATCGCATTATTTTTCAACTTTATCAGTTGAATTTGCATTTTTGAGGCTTTTTTTCGGTAAGTCCATACCGAAAGGTAACAGAATCTGCAAAGTTGTGTTTTACGTTGCATGTGACCTTTAAAGTTACAAGTCAGTGAGTGACCCTCGCCTGCTCGCTGTATTGCGCCGGAGATCACGAGCCGTCCATCCACCTACATGACCACTGAATGATCCCGTATGTGGCATTTGTTATATGATGGTTGATTGTGGCAACGGTAAAAAATATTACAGTTACAGTACCAGTCATCCATACATTCGTCGTGCGGAGCTTCACTGGTGTAAGCGAATCGCGAGTTCAGTTTCGATCACTGTCTGGACGTGTACAGACTCGTGCCCGTTATATTCGGACACTTCACGTAATTTCTATAGGCTAACATGTTATTTCAGTGTAGCATAAATAATTTTCACGAAGTGAGTTTAGGATGGATCTTTTTAAAATTTGACACTCAGACAGGCAAATGTGAAATAAGCTTGGCTCTGCCCACATAATTTTAGTTCAATTTTCCGACCACTATTTAAATAATTGTTGCCAATGCCATTCGATAAATAAGCAGCAGAAAGTATGTCATCGTAGGTAAGATTATTCCTCACGAATGTGCAAAATTTGACTAGCATCTTACCAAAATTAAATCAATGAAAATTATTTATGCTAAACTGAATTAACACGGATGTCTATGGAAACAAAGTCGCTTCAGTATGCCAACACATATACATGTAGTTGATACGACTGCATTGCTTTTTCGACTTTTATGATATATCATCAAAGCTATGCTATTTTACAAATTTCCCCAACATCTGAATAACTACAAAACATTTTTTATTTTGCATTTATTCTATATTTGAGTTACCAGTTTTAATAGAATGTAAGATACAATAGAAAGGTAAATTTACTTCTTTACAGTAATCACCATATCTACTTAAACTGACACCAGTTACATCATTCTTTTCAGAAATGGGGTTAATCTATATTGGTTAAAGTAAGAAAGTCATAGCTTGTGGTTTCTGTGCAGGTGATGTTTACAGCTTGTGGCAGCATATTCCCGTGAAGTACAGAACATGAAGGAGTGGTGACAACTGATGTACCCATACAAAAGGTATGTACAATGCAAAAAAATGGAAACATCTTCCAGAATGAAAATATCTAAATAAAAACTTAATTTTAAAACTTGATATATCCAAATCATTTAAGTACTTTTCTCATGTGATTCAGTGACACCAGATATCCGTTGATGTTTTAAAAAGTAGCCAATGTTTGTTTCCATCAATAATAGATGTCTTGTGAAGTCATTAGATGTTTATGTCATTTATTTTTAACAGAGGTCAAGGCACAAGCACAGACCTTGTATACAGATGAAGATCTCCTGTGATTATTTCTTTCTCCTCATCTGATAACTGAAAATATAAGGATGCCCTGCAACTGAAAATATAAGGATGCCCTGCCACTCAGTCCAAGTCCTGACTTGTAATTTAAGAAATAAATGAAGATCATCTAAACCAGAATTATCTTTTGTTCATTTTGTTGCTGTCATCATCAAACTTTTAACTGATCAAGAAAATGGATTGTGGGGCATCAGATGCAGATTTTGCTGCTCTCACTCTTGCCCTTGGTGTTAAATGTCTGGGGTAAGGCCAAGAAAAATTTAATGTTTCAAATCATTGTGTTGGGATTTTTTCCAGGGCCTGTTGCCTAATGGTTATCTATTTAAAAATGAACTATTTTTTAAAATCGTTTGTGATATATATAGACTTGAAAGTTGTTTTGAAATATGCATAATATTTTAACTAATTGTATTCAGAAACAATTTAAATTTTTCTTGAGCCTACATAAAGCTGTCCAGTGGTGTCCAGCAAAGACAGAGAGAGTGAATTCAACTTAAAGAATGTATTGCTTGCTATGTGATAGTATTGCGAGATTAGTACAAACATTTCAGGGTAGGTAAGAGGTATTGAGGAATGAAACAGACGTTGATCCAACATTGGGCCAACGTTTGTTTACCAACGTTGGGCAACGTTTCTTTGCCAACGTTGGCCCGACGGTCACGATTACGTTGGGCCAACGTTGGTGTCCAGCGTTGGGCCAACGTAAGTGGTGACGTTGGGCCAACGTTGGCCCAACGTCAGAATGCTATCTGGGGAGTGACGACCACCGAAGAAGCCGAGAGAATCATAAAAAAGTAAGAGGAAACACCTTGGCTAAGGTACTTTGTCTTGAATGTAAAATATTTTGGCATACCCTAACTCTAAGGATCGTAAAGGGAGCAGTGAGGGCTACGCCCGGTAAAGTGCATTCTAGCCAATATTTTTATTACGATAGCATATGGTTACATAACGTCGCCGAAAACAGGTGAAACCAGGTGTAACCGGAGTGGTTTGGTATATACCACAAAGGCAAATAGTTTTCGTAGATGTCAGTTTAATGGCAATAATTGAAGAAGGCCCTGTAAAAGAATAAATACATTGCATCAAAATACGCTACAATACTTCATGGGCCAATACATGTGAGGCTTAGCAATAAGTGCTGTACTACAATATAGATCTGTTATAAGGCGAAAATGCGTACGTGACTCAAGAAACGTATTACAAATCTATTATTAAGAATTGCGAGTATTTGTTCATAAAATCAATACTGTTTCTGATGGGCAATAAATCAAGGCAGAGAGAACAGGATTACTGTCAGTAACAGGACAGAAACGTAGCAATCAACGGTGAATCATCGATTAGTTACAGTAATCCTCTGATCACGAGGTACGACATGAGACCATGGAATGATATAACTTTAAACGAATCAGAGGGATTGTATTTGGTCATGTGACCAGGGTGGAGCAGGCTCGAACACCTTAAAAAGAAACCGTCAGCACTAGAAAGTGGTGCGGGTTACAAAGTCAGCAGAACGTTCGCATCGCGTTCGATCAGTTCCATATCTGGTGAAGAGCTTGCCCTATCCTGTCCTGACCACGTCACCTTGTAATGACGAAAGAGATCGAGTAAAACTATGTGAGTATAGAACCTAGTGTTGAGTTATTCCTTGTATGCCAGAGCGCCAGTACATGAATGCAATGTTGTAGTTAGGAGTCTCGGTCGTCAGACCTCTCACTCCTAAACGTAGAAGCCCCGGACGGACCAAGCGAGTATGTAACTTGAGCTTACATCACCCCTGACAATGCGGAACGGCCATCTTAATAGGTAACTGGTAGTAGGGTTTACTAACACCCAAATCCCGGTTACGACATGGTGGAGATTGCGGGTTCTTCTTGAACAAAATGTTTAAGACGATCCCTTTCGCTGTTTTTCTTATGGTCGTTCTTACTTTTTTATTCCTTTGCATTGACGTTTGACGGTAGGTTCCCTTTTCGCGGCTGGGATATGTTATCTCCAGTTTTCCCTCAGGATATTTGGAATTTTTGTAATGCCTCGTGGAAATGATTCAGATTCATCTACGTCCTATGACAGTCCGGTCCAATCTCATTCCATCACTTCTAACATTTTTACTAATCCAGTCCGACTTGGCATAACACAACCACCGTTTCACCCTCTATCTGCTCTTCGAGACATCTCTCTATCTCTTTCTCTGGAGGATTTAGACTTGTCACTTTTCAGTAACGAACTTCAGCACCAGGCCGGTCTCCCTGATCTGTTCTCTTTAGATTTGTCATCATCTGTCAATAGTTCTTATTCTGCCCCTGACTTCAATATGGGTGACTCCACTTTAATGCCAGAACATTTCACAGGTAGAGACACCTCTCATGCTGCCGAGTGGCTTGACCGTTTCACTCATTTTAGTAACTTCAAAAGGTGGACTAATGCGCAGAAAATTGAGGTTTTTCCCCTGTTTTTAAAGGACGCGGCATATCTATGGTACAGAGATCTGATAGCATCGCCACAGGAAGAAATTCCCCATTTTGATGAGATTGAGAAATTGTTCAAGGACAAGTATGTCCATCCGACTGACCGTTGGGCCCTTTTGGAAACTTTTGTGAGTCGAAAGCTTTCCCCTAAGGAAGCTATAGATACTTATTTGGCAGACTTGACCGAAACGGCTAGCTTGTTAGGAAAATCAGACACAGATTTAATGGACGCTTTTGTTCGGGGATTAGATGACAATACCAGGCGACATGTGTTAATGAAACAACCAACTGTGCTAAACGAGGCAGTCTCATTTGCGCGACTGGCTAGATCGGTCATTCCCCAGTCTGAAGACAGTACGGACGTTATGCTCGCAATAGATACGCTGAGAGGACAGATTGCTGAACTTTCAGCACAGCTCGCTCCAGTATCGTCACAGATCAATACTTATGAGTCCCGACAGAATCAAAGTCCCCTCTTCCCCAGACGCACTTCTGGGCAAACAGATCGTCCGTGGCAGCCGCCACAACCTCAGTTTCAGCAACAGTCGTATCCGGACCAACAGAACCAGCAGCGACGTCGACCCCAGTCTACTAGGCCAGACTACACTCCAGGAAGGACCATGTCAAGGGCACGCCAGTGTTATCGCTGTGGAGGTGAGTATGATTTTTCTCATTCTGATTTCTGTCCCGCACGGAATATACAGTGCCATCTTTGTCAAAAGACTGGACATTTTCAAAGAGTATGCAGGGCTAGGTACCAGTCAGGTAGCCCAACTAGCAGATAGCAATTACAGTCAAGACCACGCAGTAAATATTCTCATTGTGCTGAACAAACGTTCGACCATACTTATTTGAAATCACAAGTTTGTAATTCTCCTTGTTACAACCAGCCTATATTTACATCTAAAAGTGACAATAGGCTTAGAATTCAAGTTGTTTTAGGAGAAACGTTAGTTTCATCAATCGTGGATTCAGGCGCTGGTTCTAGTGTTTTAAGCCTGGAAGTTTTCAATGATTCAGGCCTTTGGAACGAAATCCCTATTCAAAAGGCAGATGTGCCATCCATTCAAGGGATTAGTCAAAATATAGTGCCAGTATTTGGACAAGTTGTACTTCCCATCACTATTGGTGATTTTCAAACAGAACAATGTTTTCTAGTTGTTGCAAATTTTGAGTCTCCGATGATTTTAGGCTTAGATTTCTTGATACGTCAAGAGGCTGTCATGAATTTTCAATCTTGTACTTTGGCTATTCAAAATGGTTCAACAGTTGTTCCAATGAGGGCAAATGGTACATTGCTACCACCTGTTGCTGGTAAACAATCAAAACCTACGGTGTCAGAGCAAATACTTGATAGCTCGCGGCAAGACGCCACAGTTCCTCCCCAATGCAAAATAGAACATTGCCTAGGTTTCACAGTTCAATGTCGACCAGGAAAACATGTGCATACCGTAGATATTCTGTCATGCTTTCCGTGCACAGCAAATTCAGACAATTGTCTCCCCCAGTCGGATAACTACGACAAGATATCGATTCCAATGGCAACAGATATAGCATCAGATTTGTATGATAATAGCTCACTTAGCGTAAGCTCTGTCCCCACAGGAGATTACTTCGAAGCTTATCGGCAATATGACGTCTCAATCCATTGCCACATCGTACGTGCAAACGACGACGTTGTGACAAGCGTACAGGAATGAAAGTTCCTGGCCACGCTAAACGGCATAAAATGGTTGTCAGCCACAAACATAGGCCAACTAACCCATTTCCAGTTGTCGGTCGGTCCAATCACATCCATAAACTACTCAGATATGATAAGGATACGGATTTGATGAGCCCCACTGCTCAAAGATTAACCACGAACAGGCATAAAATGTCACCTTGGATATACAGGAATACTCTGTATAGCAAAATGCATTCGAGCGCGTAGAATATTCAGTGGAAAGAAATACTACAGGATTCATTAGAAGACCTACACTGTACATGAGGTTACAGTTGATCACGAATACAAATTCCCTGAAGGAGATTTAAAATTATATGATACTGAAGTCGTTTAATGAGAAACGAAAGCGTTAGAATATTTACCAAAATATTTGAAATATTGTTTCGGAAAAATTGTTATGATTCGTTCCCTTTTTAGTTACAGCACTGCAAATATCATGCTGAGGACTGATCACCCACACATTGATTTTGCATGTGTATTATTTCAGGAAAATAACTAGTTGATGCTATATGCATGGAGCACAGCTCATATCGATACATGCTATAGGTCATTCTTATGATGTTACTTGATTCAATTGTCACAAGGTTACAAAGATGTAGAATCGTGCATATATGTTGAAATGTGTGTTGTTCTTGTCAAATGTCTTGTTGAATATATTCAGAATACTTCGACTGCATACAGTCACGTGTTGGTTGATAATAAATGAAGAATACATTCCTATTCACGGGTTGGTGACCAAACGCTGATAAGGTTTGGGTCACGTTGCATACTATTACTTGATGAATTCATTCCTGGGTTACTGACCACAATGTTTAGGTCAGGTTGCATATATACCTACTACTTCTACGGGAAGGTTACAGGTCGCGCTGTCCATAAGAGACATTGTACATATTTCGCGGACCATTACAAAGCGTTTCGCTATGCGTGTATAT